GGGGGCATTATATCATCTTGAGATTCATTTTGCTGAGATATTCAACTTTGGAGAATAGTTTGGATGCATGACTTTTACAAAAGGTAGGGGAAATATTTTCGGTCATCATCAAATGATACTAATTCAGCACCTGCAGGAGTCTGAGCACTGCTGTAGACTTTCTAAAATCATTAGTTACATCATCTTTATTTTCTTGTTTCAAGTAAATGCCATGGTTTTCAGTTCCCCTGTCAACTATACTTGGTTTTCCTCTAAGGCACAGAAACATCATCTCCACTTAAACACTGGAGCCTTTCTCTTTACATTTTTCCCCCTGCCTGGAAATATTTCTAACCCCAAGTTTGACTGTTGGCTTCTCCTTAAGTCTAAACTGAAATAGCACATCCGAGAGTTCTCTCTTGACTAACACATATAAAAATACCTTTTTCTTAGTCATTTCTCTTCAGCTTTAACATCTAGATGAGTGAATAGGTGGTGGAAAGGTGTTGTGATAGGTTCAAGTTGCTATGGAAAATGAAGTCATGTGGGATATCTTCGTAAAAGTACAAAATCAGTGTTATCTCAGAAGGAAAGTAGCTAACACTGACTGGCAGTATGAGCCTAGAACAAAGTTAGAGAGGATAGTTTGGAAAAATTGTGTTTAATGACTGTGGCACCAAGGGCTAACAGGAACACGAAATTAAATATACTACTATACCTATACCAGACCTATAAATTATAAATAACTACTTTAAGATTTCGGCTAGTATAAGAACACTTCAAAAGCTTCCTGGAAAGATGGAATTAAAACAGAATGCAAAAATCCATGAACATTTCAAAGTCACATTGTATATTGTTTAGAGGAAAACGCAATAAGTAGTAAGAGCTTTATGCATTTATGACTAAGTTGTTTTAAGAATAAGAACAAGAGGGCTTGGCATGATGGCTCAGTGGCTGAAGTCCTTACCTTGTATGTGCCGGGATCCCATATGGATGCTGGTTTGTTTCCCAGCTGCTCCACTTCCCATCCACCTGTCTGCTTGTGAGCTGGGAAAGTAATGGAGGATGACCCAAGTTCTTCAGACCCTGCACTCATGTAGGAGACATGGAGGAGACATCTGGCTCCTGGCTTTGGAATGGCTCAGCTGCAGCTGTTGCGGCCATTTGGGGAATGAATCAGCAGAGGGAAAAATCTTTCTCTGTATCTCCTTCCCCCTGTGAATGTTCCTGGGCTCCAACAAAAATAAATAAATCTTAAAAAGAATAAAAGCAAGAAGGTACCATCACTACCACCAACACAAAGTCAGATTCTCTTAAAAATAAAGAAACTGCTTCAAGAGGGTAAGGGAAGTGAAAACTGCAGTACAACAGTTCAGCTTTAAGTGCAACGGAGAGTAAAGGTTACATGGAGGGAGGTGGAAGAATGCACAGTCCAGGTGCAAGGCCTGCCATGTCTGTGTTGGTTCTGCATGAACGTTTTCAAAGTGTCACCACCAGCCTTTATGTCTGTGACACACTTCAAACTTAGTAAATTGGAAACCTTCAGTGTGAAGCCTAAACATCTACGTTTCACTAGTTCCAAAGATAATTCTCCTGCTTTCCATAATCTGAAAACACTCACAGTGGAACTTGGGTCATTGGTCCTTGCTCTAATTTTAGCCTGACAACCGTGTCTGTGCTTATGAAATCCCAAAGTCTTAATTTGTACAAGTATTTGCTGTGTGAGTGAGACCAAAGGAAGATTTGGGTGTTGTGAAATTAAAAGTTAAATAATTTCAGAACTCTTCTAGGAAAACTTTAAAAAACAGAAATATAAATAATGTGTATAAATACATGGAATGAGAAAGGAAGTTAAATTTGTAGTTTATGTAAGGTGAAAAAAAAAAAACCCGGAAGACTATTGTTGATAATTAATCATCTTGCACAATAATTTTGGTTGCATAAGCTTTGCTTGCCTCCTCCTCTGACAACTGTTTGCTACTCTGCCTTTTTATGTTGATAAAAATATAATCTCCTATAATAACTTTGGTAGAATTTTTAAATTATTGGAAATTGTTAGGTGTAAAGGCAGCAAAATGACACGAAGACACACAGGTTAAACATAATCTCACACAGTTACTCAGATTATTTCTGTTATCTGTGTATCCCACCAAAGACACATTGTACTGAGCTGAACTGAGTTTATTTTTGTTGTTCTTAGTGGAGAATTTCTGTTTAGATTTGGCGTCAATGAGAATTAAATGCTAAAACTGATGTTGTACCTTATGCTAGTCTACATCCTACAGTTTATCTGTGAGAATATATGTATATACATATTTCCTGTATGATTTTTGATCTTATATTCTGCATGTAGGTTGCCTTATATCAGAGAGATCTTGTAGTATTTGTCATTTTGGGTTGGCTTATTTTGCTATTCATAATGGTGTCCTATTGGAGCTGTTCTGTTGCAAATGATAGAATTTCACTATTTTTAATGGCTGAGTAGTATTCAGTGGAATAGATGTACAAAGTGTCTTTATTGATTCCTCTTTTGGAGGGCATCTGGGTGGTTCCCTGTATACACTGTTGCAGATTGTGCCTCTGTCAAAATAGGGATACAGGTCACTTTCTCGTATGTGCATTTGACTTCTTTTGGATGTATTCGCAGGAATGGGATAGCTGGATCATAGTACAGAAAATCTTTCAGTTGTCCAGACACTCTCCTTACTGACTGATTCACCTCCTCTTAATTGAGCTCAAAGGTGCCTGTAAATCTTCCAGTCATTCATCATATAGAAATTAACCTAGAAAAAGGTGGAGCTTGCTAACAATAACATCTGTTTTTTTTTTTTCAGTGTTTCAGAAATGTTTCACTGTTCATATGTTCTTGAGGTTTTCCTGGGATCCTTAAAGGAGCCTACCTAAGTAAGGCCTTGAAATTTTAACTTTAATCCCTGGGCAGTGCATTGATTTTAGAAATGAATGAGAAAAAAACTAAGATTGCAGATGGGTTTTTTTTCATTTTTTTCATTTCAGCATTTTTCAGCTTTTAATCAAAAGTAACATACTCAGTGTATCTAAATTTCTCCATTCCATGCTAGATTATTGATAATGTTTGTATCCTTTATCTTATATTCGGTGAGACCTCCTGTTCTAATTGCTGTGGCTGTGATCTAATTAACCTGACTTTGATGTGCATCCAGGACTCAGAACCCCCTAGCAGAGCTATTGACACTGTTGTTTGGAGTTCCAACAGTCTATATGAGAAAAAAAAAGTACAAGGGTGACAGTTTTTATCCCCATCTTCCTATAAACATTTGTTGAACCTGACAGTTTAGCAATCAGTGTATGGCTAAGATCTGTGATGACATCATTAGATGCTGTGAATGGTAGCAGGAAGGCCACTGATGAGTTGGCAGAATCAGGCGGAGCTGTGTTCTCATTTGGAGCTGTGTCAATGTTCATTATGCTTTTAGAAGGGTGTAGGTACTGTTCTTGTCTTGCCACAAACCATAGCTTTGCCCACATACCTTGATGCAGGATTCTAAGATTCTGCAGTTATTTCTTTATTTCAAAGTACATAATATAATGGAAAATTTAAGATGTAATTTCCTTCCAGTTAGACATTCTTCTAATTGATCTTGGCATTTGAAAGGTCAGTGAGTGGTGACTTTGTTGCATTCTCATCTTCTTATACCACGTTCTCTAGTACATAGAATTGTCAGAATCTGAGCAATGCAGTTGAGATCATCCTGTAGCACAAAGCTCTCTGCTTGGCTGCAAACCCAGTATTTGCAGAGCATGAAGTGGAAATTTGTGTGCAGGAACCCTCTTTGATGTTTGGATTAGGCTTTTGTACACTTGACAGCAGCAAAGCTGTTAGTGAACAAAAACAATTGACGTGTGCATTCACCATATGCATTTGTGTTTGCATTCATTTCACACATAGATTTAAATGTGCACATGTATTGAGCATTGGTTTCTGCAGCTAAGAGTATTTTCACTGTGACAGAGGCCACCTATACCTTGATGGAGCATTTTGATTGAATGCAAAGAAAAATTAGCTCTAACAGAATGTCATTGATGTCTAATGGCAGTAGTTGACTAAGGAATTTCTAGGTTTTTATCTGTATATTTTTTTGACTATCTTAAAAATAGTCATCTTCTGGGCCATTTGGAAGATGGCCTAATGAGCAAGAGTGTGATCTTAGCCATCACACTTTGGTTGGTTGTTATAGTCACTTGGGCACCATGTGTTACTAGCTTAATTGATACTGGGTAAGAATAAAACTAACAAAGGCAGCTTTAATTTGTAACTAATGTAGTGTGCTTTCCTGATGCCTAAATGAGATTATAATGCCAGAACAAACATGATGAACAGCAGTAGGGGACATATTTTCACAAGGCTCATGGTGGCAGGTTAGGGATTGTGCACAGCGAAGATCCTGGGCCGAATTCACTGTGTCACATCCATGCAATATAATTGTACCTGATCAGCATTTTTCACAGTAGCCAGTTTCCCCCCCCCTATTTTGAATTATTTGACTTTTGCAGCTTTATTTTAATTTACTTTGAAATCTGTTTTTATTTGAGAATCTTTGTAGAAATGCTAAGCTCCTCTAAGCTTATACTGATACCTAATATATGCTTTGGGTGTAAAGACTGCTTCTGTCACCAGCAGGGTTTGGGATTTTGAAGGTGCTGGTTTGATTTTGTATCTTCTCTCACTCTATGAGGGTCAGTATTTGACTTATTCACGCTCCAGTTAGCCCAGAATCTCCTGGAAGGCATGTTCCTAACTTACCTGACTTCTAGCCTTTTTAAAATGTATTAAACTACTTGATTATAAAATTTATAAGGTCTAATTACAAGGATTGAGAGGGCCCACGCGAGTATGAGGAGCAGCCACCACTGTCCAGAAGCAGCAAGAGGATGGAAATGTACAGACAGCAACCAGCCATATCTCTTCATCAGTTGATTTTTTTTTCCCTTTCCTTTCTCTCAGCAGTTTAATGTGACTACTTCGCTCTCATTTATTTTAGATGCCTCAGGAACAGTACACACACCACCGAAGCACAATGCCCAGTGCTGAGGGGCCACAGGTATACAAAGTGGGGATTTATGGCTGGCGGAAGAGATGCCTGTATTTCTTTGTTCTGCTCCTCATGATTTTAATACTGGTGAACTTGGCCATGACCATCTGGATTCTCAAAGTCATGAACTTCACAATTGTAAGTAAACCTACATCAGTGTGTTTGGTTCTTATTGAGGGGAAAGGAAAGCTTGGGGCAAGATGTTCATGGAATGTGGGAAACTGATGACAATAGGATTCAAAATATCATAGTACCAGGTGCTTGGGTTTAAATGTGTTACTATTCAGATTGAATCTGGGCATTGACTTGTATCTTATCTCAGTGTTTCAGATGCTGATATTCCAATTTCGGGGCATTGTCCTTCTCACAGTCTCTCATGTCGTTTCTCCTCATTGGGCTGTGTTTCTGTATCAAATAGCTTTGAAGCCCTTCGGGTAAATAATGCAGGAAGAAATATGGTATAAATTCCAAGTAATGATAATAACATGGCTTAGTAAAGTAGTGATTGTGAAACTTCAATTTAATGGTGAGGCATGTTAAAAGAATTTGAAATGTCTGCACATGATTGTCACCGTGATAATCTGAAGATCTTTTCCGTTTTAGGAAATTAGCTTTTGCTGCTGAGAACAAGTGCTAGGAATGCGAGTAGTATGACTGTGCTTTACATTTCAAGAAATTGTGTTTATACTACTTTGAAGAAATTCTTGCTCTTGATTTTTAGGGTCCCTATACAGACTGGATATTTTCTTGAAGTTCAAATGAAAAGGAAATTTGGGGCTAATAGCTTCTGAAGTGATTTTGATGATTTCCCCTCAGTAGTTCTGGTCCAGGCTATCCATGTGTGTTCTCTACTCGTTAAGGAGGAGCCCATGGGCGGTCATGTGCTGCCCCAAGGACATTTTCCTTCTGTATTCAGATGTCAGAAGCCAGTCACATGATTGGCAATCAAAACAAGTCCTACTTGGCAAAGAAATTAAGCCATAACAAATTTAACAGGAACTTTCATGTGAGAATTCCAAAGATGGGTATGGAATGTTAGCATCTTCCGAATTACAAGGTTCACTTTTTTTTATGCCAGGACTCAGTGCAAAGTCACACTTGTTTGCCTTGGATCAGGTTGGACAGCATCTGTCTTTTCAACAGAGTGGTAAAACTTATCCTTAGTCCTAGTGCGGTCTGTTTATGCATTTCTTGTACTTATCACGCCAGATAACATTTTTTATGTGTATCCCAGTCAGACTGAACCTTGAGATGAGCAAATATTGCATCTTTTCTGTGTTGGTCGTCTTCTATCATTTATAGTTGGGCCTCTTGATGTTTACTGAATGAGGACTCAGTAAGTCAAGTTTAGACACTTGAGGAATCCTAAGAAGTCATTTTCAGTAATTATGATCACAAAGAGTGAACTATCTCATCAAACAGTTCTCTATTTAATATTACAGACATCTGTCTTTGGTTGGAAAACAGTTCAGCTCTTCTAAAAAAATTACAAAAATAACTATTGCAATATAAACGAGTTTTCAAGGAGTTTTTTGGGGGGCAGGGGTTGCGAAGGCCAAGTGTTCTAAAGCTGGAACATACTCCTATGCCTGTGTTGGACTTGGTAATCGCTTTCTGAATCTGGAGCTTTTGTCTTGCTAACAAGTGTATGGGATAAAATGTGACCAGTTTTCAATCTAGAGAGAATACACAGGTGAGCATTCAGTAAAATGAAGGACAGGTTCTTACACAGTAACCCTACCTGATGGCCTTTAAGTCCATTTGGTCTTAAATCCAACTGATCCCAGTTGCCATGTATTGGCATGAAAATTCTGTGATGATCTTAGTTTCTATTCCGAAATTGTTGAGACAAGAAACCTTCCATAGTATAATGTTAATCAGGAAAATGTTGAAGCTTGGAGAGTAACACAGACAGTACAAATTCAAAAGAGATTTGAAAGATGAAGTTGACACAGCTTGAATAGTGTTGCAAGTTGTAGTTCACAAATTGGAGGACATTGTAGAAGATTCCCAGTTTTTCCCTGGTGAGACATTTGAATGATTGAACCCAAAAAGCAAGATGAAATTTATTACCTTCCTCCTAGATTTTAACTGGGACTCATGTGACCCCTTTATCCCTTATTTGGAAATAATAGCTCCAGTTCTATATTCTGTAATGTTTACCCTGGTTCAGTATTAATTATAGTACCTGAAAGATTTGGGGATAAAAGTAGGAAATATGCACATAGTCCTGCATAATGTGGCTTCTACGAAGTATTTGTTCTGACAAGCTTAAAAGAAATGCATGTAAATGTGTATTAAGTATATATCACACATTGCTTCACTCTGAGAGTGCAGAGAGCAATAGGACATTATAGATAGTAATCTATATGTAATCAGTTATTTCCTTAGTTAACTAAAATGATTGCTGAAGTTGAGAGTCTTGAATGCTTTCCCAAGCCAGGTACTTACTGATGTAAGAGTAATGCCATTAGTAGACATAATTGGTGTTTTAAAGCAGCAGTGCTTTTGAGCAAATAAAACTGAAGTGTTAGAAAATTGGTCTTGCCATGAAAGTTAAAAGCATATTTCCCATCAATCACATAATGAAACATACTCTTGTAGAATTGTATTTCTATCACAAAATAATAGTTTACTGGGAAAAGAATATTGACGTCACCTATGTTCTACTGAATAATGTGAGATAAGAAGCAAAAGAAATCAGTGAGATAGTAACCAAGTATTAGATTCAGATTTTTCAACAATCATCAGGAAGAAAGCATGCTTATTTTATGTGCTTGGTTTATCCTGTATTGTAGTTTGGTGGAGCCATCACTGTAATCAAACCTTCTGGGTGGTCATCAGCCAAGTCAGTGAAGTCATCCGAAATGTTTCTGAGGGGTTGGCACTTTATCCAGGATCAGACTTGACAAAAGCACCAACATCTGCTCTGCACTGTGCCCTGAGTTGAATGTTGGAAGAACCTTTCCAATGTGACAACCTACACAAACATCCAACCAAGTGATCTTTGATTCAGTGGCCAATCAGAGGAAAATTATTTTCTATTCCCCTGCTCTTGAAAGGAAAACCTCAGTGTGTAATAAGAGGTAGGAGGGCAAGGTTATATTTGCCATTTTTTCCTGTGGTTGAAGAATGCATGGCTTACCTAAAATGTAAACATCCATGAGGACACCAATCTTAGTTTACCAAAGATTGTGTTCTGCAAATCACTGATACTTGTTGTATGGACTTCTGACTGATCACCATGCATAACACAAAAGTGCTCGCATTTAGTTTTCAAAATGACTGCACATTTGGTAATGTTACATCCATTGCATCAAAAATAAACCCTTAAGATTCAGACAGGTGAAGTGACTTGCTGAAAACACACAGCTCATAAGCAAAAGGGTATTTTGTGTGACTGCCAGGTCCAACCTTGCTGCTGCCCTGCGCCTCCCACTCCTAATTGCTGCCACAACTGTCTCTTTAACAAAATTCTGAACTTCTCAAGATGGCTCTTCATGTTTGTTGCTTACTCTGTATCACTGGGCACAGCTCTCCTCCCCAGCGGTAAGGGTCATATTTTTCTGCTTTGAGGGGTTCTGTGGTCACTCCTTACTTCATTTCTCTTTCACTGAAGTTCATGACCTCCTGCACCATTTCTACTTTTTCTTTTGTTCTTCTTTTTAATTGAAGCTTTCACAATCGGCACTATTGTAACAACGTCTGTTTCTTTATATTGTTCTGAAGATTCAATGAGTTAATTCACTAGAGCATGTACAGCAGCCTTTAACACAGGAATACTTAGTGTTGAGAATGGGAAATCTTAGCTTCTACACTAGCATGTGATGGTTAAAGGCTCTGGATGTTGATAAATGCAGTTCTGCCACTCACAGTATGACATTTATCATATTTATCCATTTTTCTCTGCTGTAGGTCATAGAATTGTTCTGAAGATTAGAGAAAGGAATGAATGCAAAGCACTTAGAAAAGAGCTCCACACATAGTACATATTTACAAAAGTGTTGGTTATCAATTTTTGTAGGCTCCTTCTGGAAAGTCATTATACGAACATTTACAAACATTATCTGACACAAACCTATCTAGGGATGTGCTATGATGGTGCCAGCTTTACAAGACAGGGCGGGGAACTCAATCATTTGAATTGAGATTTCACAATTACAAAGTGGCAGAGTAGAAATTTAGCCCCAAAGTGTCTGGCTCTGGAGTCTGGCACACTCATGCTTTGATGTAGTGTTGGGGACATGGTTGCCTCAGTCTCAGCAGGGATGTACTGCGTTGTCTGTCTTTTGGGGATCTGTATAGAACTGACTATATCGGACTAAGTGTACTTTAAGAATTCTCTGTTTGGACATGACTTTTTCCTTGGACTTTCCTGAGGCTATATGAAATCTTATTTTATAGAGGGCTTATTGCTTCTGCAAACACTTTCAACGACCCCATCCAAGTAGCCTGGCCCTAAAGTACTGCAGTCTCTACCACCTGCACCATCATTTAACACAGGTGTTATTACATAGCAAAACTAAAATGGATTAAAAGTCATCCATTCATAGCAAGTCTGTTGCCCCAGTCTGTGTGAAACTAGATGAAATAGGAATTTTAGAAAAAACTTCATCAAGCATCCTCATTTTGTATGTGATGTTATCAAAGCAGTCAGTCAGGTTTTCCTACCTAGCTTTTGCATGCCAACTGCCCTATAGAGTTCTGTGGAGCATAGATTTTTATTATTTCTTTTTTATTGACCTGGATAATGCCTGGAATAGTTAATTTCAGTAGCAGGGGTATTTAAACAGTTCAGGGGAAAGTAGAATTACCAGATAAGTTTATTATAGTACAAAAAATTTTGAAATCTGTAACTTCCTGAATTAACTGTAAATTGGGTTTTGCAAACCATGTAGAAGATAGAATAGAGATCAAGTGTCTGGTTGCTCTTGGGTCCATGCAGACCCTCAACAAACTGTGACTGCCTATGCTGTCTTATGGATTCCGTGACTGCTGTTTCCAATTATGAACATTATTACGTCCAAACCATTGCTATTAGGGTTCCTGTGAGAAATAAATATCCATTTGCTTAGTAAGATCTTCTTTTTAATTTTCTTGCAACCTTCTCACAAAAACCGTGTGCGGGATAGACGCCA